ATGAAAAAAGCGTAGCACAAATGAGCACGGGTGGTAGTGATACAGCTGGTGACATTCCAATTCCAGTAAATAAAAAAAAAAAGCGACGTTCGTGCCGTGATAGTCTGACAGCTGAGAAGATTAGCACAAGCTATCGCTTGGGCTCAGTTGGCCAAGATACACAATTATGTTTATGGGACATAACAGAAGATTTATTAAGACAATCTTATGAAAAAAGGCATCGACAAAGTTCGCTTGAGCCACAGAATGATATAACTCATCCGTTGAAGGAGATGAAAATTACGAAGGCAAGCGATAATGGTAATAATTCGAATAATAAAATGAACACTTTCCGATCGAAGTTCACAGTCACAAACGATGGTAGTGGAACTTGCACGAGCACAAGCCACAACACGACCAAAGTTGCAGCTGTCTCCGAAAATACAAAATATTCAAATCCAAATAATATTAGCAAATTATGTAGCAATAATAGTAAGTCAACGAATGTGATGGAGAAGTTCACTGTAAAAAATGATTCAACTATGAACAACATTTCAAGTGAATCTTTTTCGAATAATAAAGGAAATAATGGAAAATCCGCGGATTCGGGATTTAATACTTTGACTCAACGCTTTTCCCATTTCAATTTCGTCAATGACAGAAAATTATCAAGCAATCAACAACATAGTCATAAAAAAACATTCATTTTCTCAAAGTCTTCTGGAAGTACTAATAATTGTACGAGCAGTAGCAAAAATGGCAATGAATCCGAGAAAAATTCCAAATATTTGAATACTGTCGTTTCTACGTATGACCCAATGGAACTAATTGGCTCTGCTGCATGTCCACGATTTGATGAATGTCCACTGCTTGAGCCATTGGTTTGTAAAAAAATTGCACACGAAAGGCTAACGGCACTAATATTTCGAGAGGACTGCTTTCTTACAGCATGCCAAGATGGCTTCATCTATACGTGGGCTCGTCCAGGATACTCTGTAAGCATTGTATATAGGCATTGTAACATAATTTTAGAATTTTTTATAAAATAAAATAAAATCACTCTTTTTTCAGAATATTCCACACCCCACAAGCACAAGTCCAACAGGCGCCAGCAGTGGTACAGTTGTATGAAAAAGAATGAATTACTATACTTTCTAATAGAAATAATTGTTAGAAATAAATACCCAAAAGTGTTTTCACACGTATCAAGTTCTTATTTATTTCTATAATATTGTTCTGCACCATACAGTGTTTCTTCGCCACAGGTTGTTTATTGGTATAAGAGCAATTCCAAACGAAATCATAGAAGAGTTATAATGTGGGGTCAATGAATTGGCGAATTGGCTAAAAATTGGTTTGGAGCAAGTCGACGCGCCACCTACGGCTAGAAGAGTGCAAACGGTTATACGTAGACCTCTCATCGTAAATTTTCAAAATGTCGGGAATTTTTGTTGGGAATTGGAAAAAATGTCGGGAATTCATGAAAAAAATATCGGGAAAAGTCGGGAAGTTAAAATTGCCTAGAAAAACACAAAATAATCATATATTCATAAAAATATCAAATTCAAAATACACGTATTATCGTTTGTTATCTTTATTTTCATATTCTTTGTTGAAGCAAAGTAAAAAAACTCGTTCCTAAGCGAACATAAACGTATTGGTATCGATTCAAAAAAAATTCAGAGCGATTTAAATTTATTTAATCTTGTTATTAAATAAGCTGTTGGAATGGAACTATACTTCGAAAAATATGTTTCAATTCAAATTCAGAATGCTCCACGCTTTAGTGAGAAAACGTTCAACAGATTTGCTTGATTTTTTTTTCTTTATTCACTTTTACTCTAAATTGTTGTGAATGCTAAACGACCCATTAGTGTCAAACACACTGAGCAATTGAATTACATAAAAGAACGACCACAAATGAGAAGCGATGAATTTCATTGCTTCATCATAATTATTGATCGGTGCGGTATCGTAATTTCTCGGCTGTACCTGTTTTTGCAGTCATTGGTTTATGAGATAAACAATATAAACAAAAACAAAAATACGAACTGCTCAGCAAACGATGAACTACTCTATACAAGTGACAAATAAAGTACAGATAAATCCCGTGTATCATCTCCACTTGTATTGTTTTTTACATACCCGACTTTTCCCGGCCGGATGAGAGGTCTAGTTATACGACATGTCAAATTCAAAAAACTGTTATAAAAAAGTCTGCTATGTGTAAACTGTTATAATTGGTTATCCTTAGTTTTTTCCGAGGAAAAATAAATCAATGCACATTTCCATTTATTATTCTTCTTAAAATATAAAAATAGGGGGAGTATGTGTAAGTTGACCCACCCCGCCGATTTTGTATTTTGACCGACAAATTGTCAATTTGGCTAGTCTCAATCGATTTAGAAACGTCAAAAACCAAAAGTAGTTCCAAGAGTACGCGTCTTAAACGGCTCGGATCGGCTCATAAAATTTTTTTGGAAAAAAAAAATCATTTTTATAAAAACTAAACTTTTTCGGATCATCATCAAGTAGACAATTTCAAAGCGAGTATAAGCTTTCTTCACTAGTTTTTCGTGTATTTTCATAATCCTAAGTCATTTCACACATATCGTTAAATGGCGAAATTATTTCCGTGCATATTGAAATGTCGACCAATTTTGTAAGTAAAATTAGAAAAACCCGAAAAAAATCCGAAAAATGAGACAACTATTCAGCGTAAACACTCAATATACAAGATTCATTGAATTTTAATGAATTTCCAATCGTTTTTGGACTTGAAAAACACGAAAAAATCGATGAAATATGAAAAAATGGAGAATATGTATTTTTTTTACAATTTCTATATTTTTCTACATTTTTTTATTGTTTTTCGTACAGTCGACGTTCGGAAATCTTAAGTAGTTTGTTTTTCGCTGACTTAAGATTTCTGAATTCTTAAGTTTTCTGGACGATTCTTTATTTTAGCTTAAATTGCAGTGAAATCAAAGAATAATGCATATATTTACTTTATTTGTGTTTATTCAGAGTTCCATACTGTTTATAAATATATTTTTTGTAATTTGGTTTCGATATCTTGAGCGTTATTTGAGTTCAATTGAGTTTATTCAAAGTGAAAAAAATTATGTCTTCTTAGAAAAAAAAATCGTCAAGTTTGGCTTGATTTTGCGGCTTGGAGAACTGCTTTTGAACGATGTCCGAACGCAATTTTATTTATTTATTTATTTATTTCACACAGCCAAAAACTGGCTGAATATTTTGGTTTGCAGGAAAACGACTCCAAGAGTAGTGAAAAACCTGACCTTTTTGTGTTTGTACAATATATGGTAATTTTATACAATAAATAGTTGTAATAGTCTTTCTCGATTGGTATAACAATTTGGTCTAAAAAGCATTGACACAAGATAACCTAATCCAGCGCTGTCCAGCCTTTTTTTTACGTTGGCCACAAAAGTGGCCAAGCGTTCAATCCAATGGCCACTTTTTTTATAAAACAAGAAATGCAGTACACACAGATGAAAATTTGATTTTTGTTCGTTTTTTTAAATTAAATATTCGGTTATTAGTGATTAGTGGGATGGTTGGCATTCTTTATTTTCTGTCAGTTTATTAAAATCGGGTATCAATTGGGCTAGTTCGCAACGAAGTTCAGATTACAAATTTGGTTGTGAGAGTGCATTGCGGTATTTATTTTTACGACGTCTAGGGGAATTTCTCACGTAAAAACTGTGAAGATTTTCGAAGATGTTTGAAACTGTGAAGATGTGGAAGTTATCGAAACTATGTGGATTTGTATAGATTTTATAAATTTTTTGAGATTTCAAGATGGCGGATTTTGTGAAATCCAAGATGGCGTCGGGTGATCTCGCCTGAACTGTCTTGTTTTTAACACTAAATATGCATGGATTTTCTAAATTTGGGCAAAACTACGTAGATTTCAGAAACTGTGGAAGATTTTGAAAGATTTCAAAACTATTTTCGATGAGAAATTCCCCTAGTACGACGTGTGAGACTGGAGAATGAAGCCTCACAAACGTATGTGGATCCGAACATGCAAAGAAATTTTGGTACAACGTCTTTGAGAACTAGAAAATTACATTCGTAAAGCAAACGTCGCCACAATGCATCACTCGTTTCATTTGGCAAACTACTTTCTCCGTTTATCAACGAAATATCAAATTCCAAGTGATTCTCAACACTTTCCATCACTTTTTGATTACTTGTGCTTGGTCGCTTATCACTGCTCGAAACACCACTCGATTCACCTTCATCACTTTCATCTGGTCTTCTTTTCTTTGTGACCGTTACGAAACGATCCATTTTCGACTGTGTACTTATCACCTCTTCGACTCAATTGGGAATGAATTAATAATTGATCAAATGATTTTTTGAGAACTTCATCGTTAGATGACACGCAGACAAGTGACGGTGCTTGCGATTTCAAAGTAATTGTTCCCGTCATATTCTCGATATCGATACGATTCATTTTCTGTTTTATGAAATACATTACCAAAATCAACCGCCAGCAAATGTAAACATAAACAAACGAAAACGCACGCCGTATCAATGCTGTGTAAACAAAACTGCACATTATTAATCGAGAGCTGCTAATTTAACCGAAACAAATATATATAAGAAGCATACCGCTATGAATCACGACTTTATCAAATGTTTATATTTGAAAGAAATAACGTTGCGACAAAAAATCCCCTGAAACATACAGTTACTTATTTTGTTTTTATTGCTGCAATATTGCTCTTTCTGCTATTTTCGTCTTACAAATCAAAAATTCGTTTGAAAAAAATAAGTTGGTCAAAACATCAAATCATTTACTAAAAAAACTAGAAATATAAAAGAAAAATTATCAGAATCTTCGCGTTGGCCACTTTAATTTTCGCGTTGGCCACAAATGGCCAAGTGGCCACAGGTTGGACAGCGATGCTTTGGACGATGTAATTATCGAATTTGTGCCTACATAGATCGTCAAGTCGATACAAAAATGTCCGTGGAAAAACAGATTCCTAATAACACTAAAAAATAGGAAGAACAAGGCATGGAAACGCTACAAACGGTCTGGCTTTAGACCGTACTATGAATGGAAATACATTTTGGCGTCTCACGAATTCGACAAACTCAACACGGATCTATACAACGATTACGTGGACAAAATGAAGTCCTCGCTCAAGCATGA